CAGGTTCGACTTTTTAAAGTGTGTTTTGGCTGGGTTTCATTTCAGAGCTCGGCATCGATGATAAGGTGATAAGCAACGCACTTATAGTTATATATAGTTTTTATCATGCATTTTATCGCAACACTTGCGAGAAACCAGACATTCAAGCCATGTGCGAAACTCAGCAAAACTTGCTAATATTTTGAATATGACGGCGAAACGCAAAGGCAAACAAAACAAAGCAAAGTTACGCAGCCCTTTCATTTTCTAGGCATAACGCTCACATGTATATGTTTGGCCTGAAGATTGATCACTTTTTAAACCGGCGTTTTACTAGCTTGGAAAGCAAATTTCACTCACTCACTTTCAACAATATAGCTATATCTAAAACAAACAAGCCGCCCAATGTTGAATACCGCCTGTGGCCATACTTATCCATAAGCTGTCAATTACAATTAAAACTTTCCCAGCCAAAAAATGAGACTATAACATTTTCGGTTATATCTCGGTGCATTTTAATATTTTTAAAAAATATTTGCGGAAATGGAAAGATCTCTAGCCCCTCGATATAAATCGATAAAAATGTAAAAAAGGACAAAATCAATGTTTTCATCATATGGAGTAACCTTAATGCAAAGTTTCCAAATATATGCCCTTAGAATTGGTAGATTTTTTCTTTTCAATCACTACAGAAAATGTAAGAAAAGCAGTAATCGAGCTTCAAAATGAAATATTTTTGGGAGAGGACCTCCAGTCATTGAACATCATTGCAATTTACAACTTCTACAGACTGTACAATAATTCAGTAAAATCCTTCGAATATCAGATTCTCCAAAATATTGCTATATTTTTTCATGAACCAAATTTTTTCCAGATTTTTACTAAATTAGTATTCACTGTAGATCAACAAAAACTGAACTGATTGTGAAATAAATAATGGAAATGATTAATGAAATTGTGTTGCAGTTCGAATGATTGTGGTTTCCCAAATCTCGGCTTCCTAAACTTCCCCATTTGTAAGAATGTTTTAGTACTGTAAACTCGGAACACTGTATAAGTCAAGACCCAGAAGTATTGTTCCCCTTGCATACTTTTGCTTTAAAAGTACGAAGTGGCTATTTGTACTGGAACAATACGCCAAGTTTGATTTGCTATTCGTACTGCAGTTGGAATATTTAAGATAAACAGACCCCAAACCCTTTGTCCCTTCTTTAACCCTAACCAATAAATATCTAATAAACTATTTGAGAGTTTAAAAAGATTGGAGGAAATTTTTTAAAATTTCTAAGTCAAACAGAAAACCAACAGCTAAAACTAAAATTTGCTTCGCACACATGCAACGACTTCGCCAAAAAACGCTACCGGCAAGCTCGCTGAAAGCGGGTTGCAAAAAACTATTTTATATTACTAATTTACGAAATGTAATAATCGGGTGCCATATTCCAGTACAAATAGCCACTTCGTTAAAATTATATTTCTATTACAACAAGCTATAATAGAGATTTTTAGCATAAGCACACTATTCTACATATGATGAGAAAGGAGATTACATATGATAATGAGAAAGAGTACAAGTAAAAATACCCAAGAGATGTGCAGCAGAAGAAAACAAAGGCGAGAAATAGTGCAGGACAAACACTGATTTATTCTCTTTTCAACTAACAAAATCCATAAAACTCAACATTTTAAATGTTCGTTTAAATTACTTTCTAGTTCAAGTTGATCAATGTCATTCAGCGTCTCAAAATCACCCACAATCACCTAGTGGATTCTTTTATGCTTCATGCACATGCATTGCTTTTGTGCAAAGCCAGATTTTTAGCTTTTCAACATTTTTAGCTTGTCATGAAAACATCGTCAAAGAAAATAGTTATATGCCGATGTGGCTATGAATGCATTTAAAATCGGCCTACATTATTCTAGCAACATGCTTAGCATTAGGAATTGCATTGACCTTGCAAGCATATTGTTACAATGGTCATATCACATATGTTATGTATAGTTCAAAGCTTTACTTTAAGATTGTCTGTTAACTTTCCTTAATGCGATAATGCCAAGTTGTAGTCATTCCGTATTGCAATTCGCAATGACAACCATTTGATGGTGACACAGAAGAGGAATAGTGGTGATAAGTCATATTCTGTATTAGTATTGGTAAAACTCATCGTCGTTTGCAGATAATGTTTAACTGTTTAATTTGCAGCAGAAGTCCTACGGAAAACCAGATGTGCAGTGTCTGTAATATACCAACTCCCCAACCTCGCCGTATTAAATTACCAATTGGTGATAATTTATGTTAATAATTTTATATTATGTAATTTATGCTTGTATAACGCTCTTCTACCGAACTTGTCAAAATGGCGGATTTGCGGCTTCAAAAGGAGCTTAGCAGCGTCGAACGATTTAGGCTTTTAGTCACAAATGTTCCTGTGGAAATGGCCCGAGAAAAACCTCCAGCAAGCCTGTCGAAAAGTGGGAATTATCTTGTCGACAAGAAGGCGGTTGGCATCGACTGGAAACATACTCAAGCTCGTAGTATGCCACAAGCTTGTATTACGTTTCCAGTCGATGCCAACTGCCTTCTTGTCGACAAGATAATTCCCACTTTTCAACGGGTTTGCTGGAGGAAAAAATTCCATCCGTTTCCACAGGAACATGGTTAAATCGTTCGTTGCTGCTAAGCTCCTTTTGTAGGAGCAAACGAGGGAGCAAATCCACCATTTTGACAAGTTCAGTAAAAGCATAAATTACATAATATTACATGTGTAACATATATTATCACCAATCGGTAATTTAATACAGCGAGGTTGGGGAGTTGGGAAGTTGGTATATTACAGACACCGACCAGATGTGCTATCACGGACGAAAATAACCCAGCTAGTTCTCAAAGCATATGAGGAGTCCACCGGAGATTGGTCCGAAATTCTCAATTTCGTCATTCAGAATATCAGCTCTATCTGCATTGCAAACCCAAGGCAAAGAGTAAAAATTCAAGAGTACTACCAGACTACCCCGAGACAAACCATCATCAATCGCATGCAGCGGATCCTTAATAAGAGTATCCAAAAAGAGGCACGTGTCAGTGAAGCAGTATCGGCGTCCATGTCTGCTGCAAAACTGCAGTTTAAGATGAGATACGCAAAAAGGCAACATCGGAGGACCGTTATCACAACAAGATTAGCCTAGCCAATTTTGAGAAAAGCTCAGAGCTTGAAAATGGCAAGGATGAACCTGTTGCTGCCTAGAGCAGGAAAATAGAAGCCTGTGCGAGTAATTTAAGCGAACATTTAAAATGTTGAGCTTTATGGATTTCATTAGTTAAAAAGAGAATAAATGTTTGTCCTGCACTATTTCTCACCTTTGTTTTCTTCTGCTGCACATCTCTTGGGTATTTTTACTTGTATTCTTTCTCATTAGCATATGTAATCTCCTTTTCATTATCATATGTAGAATAGTGTGCTTATGCTAAAAATCTCTAATAAGTTTTCACAATTTCTTATATAAAGTATTTTAATAATTCCTTTGAGAAGTCGCCGTATTGGACATTGTATTTTACATTCGAGTTATTTATCAGGGTGTGTTAAACTATATAAAGTGTAACAAACTATTAATGCACATGTTACACAGAACTTAAATTGGCACTTAACACATTTCAGAGCTATTACTATTCAGGAAGTACAGGTATAGTTAGTTCAATTAGCCAGTTTAACCCTTTAGGTGGCAATGTGGCCTACTTTATTAATTAACGATAACAATAAAGTGTGAGTTCAAAATACCAAAAAGAACTAAAACATTTATTGTATGGTTCTCATTTGCCTAATATAACAATAACAATAATCTTTATTAGCATTCCCATATATTATAGGTTCATAAATGGTATTGCCTAACTTAAGTCAAACAAAATTTTAGCTAGTCAGAATTCAAATGGATCCTCTTTTTATTGTGTCCAGGATGAAGGTGAAGACATTTTTTATTTTTCATGTTACCAAGACAACTTAAAACATGCGAATAAATGAATGAATGAATGAATGAAAGATCTTTATTTTGTCAGGGTAATCCTTTCAGTGCTACAGTGAACACTGTTATCAACAGGAGCCCTGAATAAAGTTACAAGTACAATAGTCTATAGTATAAAGCTTAAAAAATTACATTAAAAATATCATACGATATATAAAAGGCTAAAATTACATAACATCACAGTTCCGCTTAAAATTATTAAAAACTACACAGCCATTATAAAAAAAATGACTTTTTGGCAGCTTCTGTTCTAACTTTGGCTAAATGTAACAGATTACTTTGTCTGGTTATCCTAGCATTTATCTCTCTATTAGATACAAAATAATTATGTAAAAACTGAGGCGACCTCTTCTCCAAGCACAAGTTAACCAATTTAGAGATATGTTTATTTCGCCTGTTCTTTAACTTGTCCCATTTGAGACGAGCAAGGGCTGGAGCACTATGTGTGCTTCTCATAACAATCCTACCAGCCCGATTCTGCAGACGCACTAATTGATCGATATCACTTCTATTGCAACACGCCCAAACCGAATCACAATAATCCAAAATTGGTAGAATGAAAGTTTTATAAATCATATTGGCAGCGTTTGCAGTGAGATCTTTCCTTTTTCTATGAAGCAAACCAAGTCTCTTCCCAACCTTGGTTGTAATATACTCCACGTGTGATTTCCATGTAAGACTATCATCAAGAAACACGTCAAGATATTTATATTCCATCACTCGCTTTAGTTGGTAATGACCAATTGTAACTTGAAAATTTGTGACTTTGGCTAAATTAACACCAGTCCCAAAGAGAACAAGTTCAGTTTTGATGAGGTTCAGAAATAACTTATTCAAATGTAGCCAGTTGTGTATCAATTCTAACTCTGTATTCAAGACTCTTTCAATCTCACTCGTATCTTTCGCCGAAAAGAAAATCACCGTATCATCAGCATACATTAATATATCACAACGAACTGTACCATTTGGTAAAACATTGATAAACAAGATGAAGAGTAATGGGCCTAATATAGAGCCCTGAGGTATCCCAAATGACACAGTGCCGGGTTCTGAATAAGCATTCCCAAACTGAACAACTTGCTTACGATTTTGCAGGTAATCCACAAACCAATCGAGCTTTTACCATTAACTCCATAACCCTGTAACTTCTCGGTTAGCAGGTAATGATCCACAGTGTCGAAGGCTTTTTGCAAGTCTATAAAGACTGATTCCGTTATCAGCCCTTGATCCATACCTCGACGAATATGATCAGTCAAAGCAATGACAGCATGTTCTGTGGAATAACCCTTTCGAAACCCGCATTGAGAAGAACTGAGAATGTTGTTCGCCGTAAGGAACCGGCACAGCTGTGTATGGATTGCCCTCTCCAAAATCTTTGAAACCGTCGGGAGAATAGAGATAGGACGATAATTATCCATATTACACTTCTTTCCACCTTTAAACAGTGATAGCACTCTAGCGATTTTCCAGTCACAAGGTATACGACCTTGGGAAATAGACAAATTCATAATAGTAGCAAGAGGTTTAGAAATTAGACTTGCAGAATCCTTCAATAGGTGGGATGGCATCTGATCTAAACCAACAGCCTTACTCGTTTTCAACTTATGCAACTGGGTGTATATAAACTGTTCCGAGATTTCTTCAAATTCAAAAGAAGAAGCTGTTCCATGCACACGCATGGTAGAAGAATTACACGTACGACCAATGAATGACATAACAGAGTCATTCATTGTTTTAACAAGCCGACCGACAGTTCCAAGAAAGAATTTATTAAAGCTCTCAGCAATTGTTTTATAATCTGTAATTACCTGTCCTTCGACTTTAAAACTTGACAAAACAGTTTTCGTTTCACCTGGCATAATTTTCTTAATCGCTTGCCAGAATGCTTTCGGATTACCTCCACAATCCTCAATAACCTTTATGTTATATTTACTTTTTGCAATTTTGATTGATTTTGTTACTCGATTCCGATGTGATTTATAAGCTAACCAGTCCTCTGTTGCATGCGATTGTTTGGCTTTGCGCAACAGATAATTGTGTTGTCGGATTTCCCTCTTTATTTCGCCTGTTAACCAAGGACATGGGTTACCACGAACACATTTTTCCAAAAGTGGTGCATGCAAATTAGCAACATCCATAAATTTTACTTTAAAATTTGACCAGTGTTCATTAACCGATACATTAGCGTCCTCGGTGGGATTGCCTATGCTCTCCCAGTCAACATTATTCAAATCTGAACAAAAGGATTCACCATTGTATTTTGCATAATTCCTGAACTGTTTTGTTTGTGCAGGAAATTTCTTCCAATTCGCTTTCCGAACACAATATACCATCTCGTGGTCGCTAAGGCCCGTGCTAATAACTCCGCTACGACTTAAATTGTTAGGAATATTTGTAGCAATAAGATCTAAAAGGGGAGGTCGAATGTTCGGCAATACGAGTAGCATCAGTAATACATTGCTTAAAATTCAGTAGCTTGAAAAGCAAATTCAGTCGCTTACATGCATTTGTCGTAGACACAGATGGCAAAAAGTCAAAGTTAAAATCACCAAGCAGAATCACCTTTCTCCTCGGCGGTGGCAATATCCAACATAACCTCAAATTTCGAAACAAATTCTTTATCAAAATAGCGCGACGAATTGGGGGGCCTATAGAACGTACCCAATAAAATTCCACGCGATTTGGGGAGAAATAACTCTACCCACAGGCCCTCAACCCCATCCGTTTCAAGATCGTCTCTCCTGACTACAAATAATTCATTTTTCACATAAACAGCTATACCACCACCTTTATTCGCTCTGTCCAGTCTGAAGACTTTATAACCCTCAATCGAAATTTCAGAGTCCAAAATTTGTCCGTTTAGCCATGTTTCACTCAAAGTTATAAAATGTATTCCCGATTGAACAGACGAGCAAATCAACCGTAACTCATTTATTTTCTTAGTTATAGACTGTATATTTTGATGCACAATCTTAAGGCCTCAAGTTTTCACTACATCGACAAACTCAGGGAATAAGGCAAGAGGACTTTCATCAGTGTGATTAAAAGGTGGTATAGTATCACAACATAAGGAACAACGTTTAGATTGTTCAAATTCAGCGCCGAGACAACTTAGGTGCACATACAAATCACACATTGAGCATTGTGCATTTGCCTGAGACCTTCTGATGGCCTTTTCGCAAATGGGGCAAACCAAACCACGATTGTTTGGGCCAGGATTTAACGAGATATCGTTGCACTGCAGTAAGACATTGACTAATACAATATCACCCACCAAGTTGGCAAACTTTAAACTCTGTTGTTTGGTCAATCGGAATTTCCTTGTAACTGAAATCGGCTTGCAAGCTTCGTTCGACCTCGTCTTCAGATGTGGAAAATTTGGTCGATGAATTAAATCTTGTCCAACACTCAGACGGCTAACTCTTGTTTGAAGCATTGGCTTTCCACAATCATCATCTTCATGCTTGAAACTGCTTTGACTTCACTTTGACTTCACTTTGACTTCAACTTGACTGAACAAGTAATATTGCTAAAGCAAGGCTTTTTTCTTTCAATAAAGCTGAAATTCGTTAAAAAAATGTTCCTTCCTTTTCAACTGACTCTTCCACTGTCCCTCGTTAGCTTAGTACGTGAGAATATGCACGTTAATGAATTAACTGATTTGCATTACGTACTAACAACGATTGTCTCATATTACACCACAAAGCTTTTCACACACACAGATTACATTTCACGCTGCACGAATTCTAGTACTGTGCGAATTCTAGTACTGCACAAATGCTAGTACTGCGCATAGTTAATATAGAAGACCGGGTTTGGAAAGCTGGGTCATGTGACGAAATATGTTGGATTTTCGGTCACGTGGAACATATAGTGCATTGCGTGCAAGATCGTAAACAATGGCCATAGAGTGTCAAATTTATACCACGACATGCGAAGCGAAAAAAGCTGTTGGTTTGGCGATTTTTTTACAATGCCTCGAGTCAATTGCTCAATATTTGGTTGTGGAACAAGCAGAAAGCATGTTGGGCTCGGAATCTTTCGAATTCCGTCTGGCAAAGACGAATTATCAACTAGAGCTCGAGAGGCTTGGGTTAGGAAACATAATTACAAAGAATCTACATATGGACAAAAGTTTACGTCGCCAGATCGATATTAAAGGCGAGCTGCATGTTTTCGAGAAACATCCCAAGATTGAAATACATTGATTGTCGTACGTGTATTCTTATTTTTTTCGTAAGCAATGAGTTAAAACTGTGCGAAAGAGGCAATAACGCGAGAACAACTTATATCTACCAGGCAGTAATAAAGATTGCCCAAACCTTTACTGGACTATCAATTAAAGAGACTGTAAATTCAGTTGTTGCCCTGACAAGGTTTTTGTTGAGCGAAGAATTTCAGTTTGTGCTCACAGAACGGTTCTGCCAGGATGATGTTTGAGAGTATTTCGGTTTAATACCAGCGAGCACAAGGGAGAAGGAATGATATTTTACTGTAAAACCCAACAGCAGCTGACAATCCATTCAAGGAAATGTTTCAATTCTGGACGGCATTCTGGTATTAAAGCAAAGCAAGTGGTGTAAATGTGTAATGTCAGTGAGGAGTCATTGCCCAAAGAGAAGAACAAAAAAACAATCAAGAAATAGTGATCTTGAACATGTTATGAGAACAATAGTACAAGTAATGCAAAATATTGATCATTTTGCGAGAACTCTTGTAGTCTGTAGACATATTGAACATTTCTTATGAAGGTACTATTGTATTGTGCACAGTGCTACGAGTAAAATCATCTGGCATTACTGTAATAGACAGAGTAAAATAATAAAGTAGGGTGCATCTGGGTACATTGTCACTTAATGGGTTAAATTTAGAGAATTTCCATGCTGTTAAAACAAATGAGCTAAAGCTCATTATAATTTTGCTTGATCTAGCTATGCATGATATAACTTTGAAGCAATTTAGTGCTGACACCAATATGTACTTCATGCCACAAAAATGATCTAATAGTTTACCTTGTTAAGAATTTTCAAAATTAACAGTACCTTAGAAGTGCTTAACCCATTAAACACCAACACTCTACCCTTGACAAATAAAATTGTCTGGTGTTAAACAAAGTAAAATAGTCTGGCATTAGACAGAGTAAAGTAGGGCCTATCAGGGCACAATGTTACTGAATGGGTTAAGTAAGTCATATCAGTACTAAACAATAAATTGCAATGCAATGTGGGAAACATGCAGGACAAAATATTCCTAATGTTTATATTGATTCAAAATTGTGTGATATAAGCACTTTTAAGGTCTATTACCACTCCCATGAAGTGCTACAGTATATTAGTAAGATTACGCTTCATTATGATTGGCTAAACAGCAATATTTGTCCCTGAATCAGTTAGCTTGGGGAGGATTGCTTATAAGCTGACCACAGTGAAAGGTGATGTAGCACTTCACAAGGAGTGTTAAATACTCATTCCTATCCAATCAGTATTTAAGTGTATCTCTTTCAAATAATGCTAGATTTACTCCATAATAATACCCTTTAATTAATTAAACTGAAATGTAGTAGTTAATTAGTGTACATATTTTTTCATCACTATATAAATATTTGCAATTAAAACCTACCAAAAATATTTACATTTAGCATTCAGTTGCAATAAATATTTTAGTAACAATGTCTTGACCAACCTTGTATCCAGGATCTTTTGTTTTGGTGAGAAAAGACCCTGGTAGATGCTTGTCACATGACGTGCTAAAATCTCATAAAATTTAGCAGATTTTTAATTAACTATATTGGACTCCTTTACTTACGACAATCATACAAAATACATCTCATAAAATTAATTAAACTATAAAAATCATCCAAACATCAAATATTTATAAACCTCAGGTTGGATTGTTAATTAGAAACCTGCTAGATTTCAGTAGATCATGTGATCATGCACTTCAAATGTATCACATACCATGTGTGACAGTGACTGGTTATGGTTTTTCAATACCCTAGATTATATTTAAGCTGGACATTTGGTCAAAAGCAAAAACATTTTAAAGACGTGACCTTAAAAAACTAATGTACTTCTTTGGTGGCAAAAGGGTTCAAGGAATACATTTAATATTGATTAATTACATCACTTCACTAGTCACACATTATTTACAGTATCTTTGGCAAATGAAAACATCTAACAGTAATATATAACTTTACAATATTTTCTAAACACAGGAACTGACATTCTTTAGAGATTTCCATATCATAATTTGCAATAATATTGCACCACAAGCTTTTCACAAGGGAAGAAGCCAAAACTTCATTCACTATTTTGTGTACTGGGAGACAAGTGAACTTGTCTTTATTCGTGTGCTTACTAAAAACTAACTCACTAACTTCCATTACACTTACAAGCCATACATGAGGTGACCAAAGGCCACCACAATGATTAAATGTACTCATTGTCCTCTGTTGCAGTTTGCATTGAATACATCAAGGCTTGAATTTCTTTGCTTCTCTGGGAGTGCCACCTGGAACAATTTTTGCTTTTTCGATACAAAGATCTTATCATGAGTTCATGACATAACCAGCCAAATAGGTCAATGGCCAAGCTCTTGCGATGATACAGAAACTTCTTCCTAAAATAAGTTAATAAAAACACAATAAATGCTAATACACTGGTTAAATTGAGCTACTATATTTCTACCCAGGGGTATTACCCTGGTCCATTACCTTTTGGAAACCAAGATGGTTGTGGGTACAGGGTAGTTGTATTTTAAAATTATTAAATAATTTGAGGGAACTTTATATAGGTTTGACCAGTATTATATATTATACAATTTATAGACCTTATTGAAATACACTACCTTCAGACATACACCCTCTAGCTAGCTAGGTCAAACTGATAAATATAACTATGTCAGAAACTCAGAAAACAATTACCTCAGAGTCAAATGGTTGCTCAATACATGTCAACAAACATCTGGGAGATGAATTAGGATAAAAAACATCATCTTCTTGTCAGGATAAGGATGAAAATATTGTTGCCAATGGGCGTTTGTATTGCCATAAAACTCCTTTAGAAAGTTTTCTTTGCTCTTCTTTCTTTTAATTTATAATATAAAGCTCCAGAAGGATGTTGATGTTTTGTTAGACCACCCTTTGACTTGCAAATTTTCTCACAAAAGTCACAAGGGAATTGCTTATTTCCTTCAACCTAGATTCAAGTTAAATTATAGGTGAGGTTATTGAAAAGGCACGGCTTACTTTTATAAGTTATTTTGATATTTAACTCACCTCTTCATGAGAATTTTGAACCTCGATCATCACCACCTCGAAGTCCATATCAAGCATTAGCAAGAGTTTGCTAAAAATCGTCTTCAAAACCCAAACTATAGGCTCCATTGCCTTCATAAAATGGCAAAGAACTCTCTTCGTCCATCTCCATGTATTCAATGCCGCATGCAT